ACCCTGCCGAAGGTTGCGGGCTTCGAGGGCCAGCGATCCATGGAAGGAAGTTTTACAGCTTTGACATACTATCTAAAGGTTGTAGGGCAGGCGGAATCCCCCCCAAAACAGGCTGACCCTCCTCCATCAGTGGCAGATGGACAATACCAGGATGAACTCCTTCTTAGAGTATGCAATTTGTAACCGTGGGACGGGCGCCTACCATCACTTAGAGACCAGCTCCCCATCCTTCCCCTCCTGCTCAGGTAGCCCTGCTAGTGACACTTTTGGAGGAGATGGGCGATTTGGAGTGGGAGGGAGCGCAGGAGCTGCTGCTCATCTCCCCCAGCAGAGTTCTGGCTACCATCCTTCATCCTCCGGTCGCCCCTTCGCGGGTGCTGCCCCTGCCTCTGGCTACCCAGCCCAGAGCAGCAGCCCCAGCTACGGCCACCACCAGCTCTACCTCGGCCAGCAGGACGCGGATGGGGTGTATTTCCAAGGGGCAGGGTACCCCTCCAACGCCGCATCCAACCTCAGCTCCTTGGCAGAGAGTTACTGCGGGGCGCAGTACCAGCAGCAACACCTTTACGGGCAGGAGCAGCACAACTATTTGCCAGGAGTTTACAACAACCTCTCGCCTTCTTTAAATGAGGAGCAAGACCCTGCGTGTCCCTCCGAGCAGTGTCCCAACGCTAGCACAGCGCAGACTTTCGACTGGATGAGAGTGAAGAGGAATCCACCCAAGACAGGTGAGTTTGGGGAGAGAAAAGAGGGATGAGATGGTTCCCACTCGGGTGAGGTGGAGGGAAGATCCTCAGTCCTGCCAGGAAAGGTTGGGATCCTGACTCAAGATGACTAGGCTCATCTTTCAGGGGAACAGGGATTTGTTTGGGGTTTGTTTTGGGGGTTTTGTTTGAATTTTTTTAAGTCCCGGCTGAGATTTTCCAGACACATCTGATGGAGGGTTCCTGGGCTCTGTCTCTCTCAGGCCCAATGCGATTTAAGCCCAGCTCAGAATAGGAAATGCTCCAAGCTTCTTGTTACTTCCACACTCGTGGTTTCCATCTCCTCTATTGTTCAACTTCCTTCTCCACAATCTTCCTTAAATCACAATCTTCCCTCCTCCTCCTCTCCAGCATCACCTTCGCCCTCCCCTTCCACCTCTTCCCACGCACGTTTCAGTCTCCTGTAGTTTACAGAGAGATGGAGGGAAGGGTTAGAAGGGAAGAACAGAGCTCGATGTGGTCTGTCCCTCCAGGCTGGGAGTCAGGGGTGGCTGTGAGAGCTCCGGGTGGAGAGACCAAATTCTCAGGAGAGAAGGGAGTGGGGGAGACCCCCCCCGGGCCATGGAGGGGGTTCCTCTGTCAGCTCTTGCCCTGTTGTTGTTTTTTGGTGGTTCACAGCTAAAGTGTCGGAGTATGGACTGCTGGGCCAGCCCAACGCCATCCGCACCAACTTCACCACCAAGCAGCTGACGGAGCTGGAGAAGGAATTCCACTTCAACAAGTACCTCACCCGGGCTCGAAGGGTTGAAATCGCTGCCACTCTGGAGCTCAACGAAACCCAAGTCAAGATCTGGTTCCAAAACAGGCGGATGAAGCAGAAGAAGAGAGAAAAAGAAGGTCTTGCCCCAGCTGCTGCCTCCAGGTCTGCGAAGGAAGCGAGTGAAGCTTCGGATCAGTCCAACTGCACCTCACCTGAGGCTTCCCCCAGCTCCGTGTCCTCCTGAAACACAAACCTCCAGGGCACAGAGCTCAGCCCGGCGCTGCCCTCGAGGGTCTGCAGACCCCAACAGACACACCCGCGTGTGGAAAAGAGGCCACGAGTCCCTCCGAGCATCCTTTTGACCACCTCCACACGTGTGACACCAATTCTCCCACTCGCATTTCTCTCTCTTTTAATTTATAGACCCTCCGTAAACCACTGGACTCCAAAGGAGCAGCCGTGTCCTCCTGGATCCTTAGCAATAGGCGTTTGGCTCAGGGATGTTTCTCCCTCTCCCTTCTCCCTTCTCCCTCCCCTTTAGGAACTGCACTTTCAACTACAGAAACTTTAAAACGAATTTAGTTTTCTTCCGTTTTAAAATACGTGCACAAAGATTTTTTTTTTCCCCCCCCCTGCAGGAATCCCACTTTTGATGTGTTTTTCCTCCCCGCGAGATTGTAAAACTAAAAACAAAAAAAAAATAAGTTTGGGGTATTTTTTTTCCCTTTTCTTTCCTTTTATTTACTGTATGTATATCTTGGAATGAAATCCGAGGGGCTCAAGATGCTCGAGGCCTTTGCAAAGACCCAAACACCAAGCAAAAAAAAAAAAAAAAAGTATTTCCTCTGCTACCATTTTGCACTATTTCTGCTTTACAGGGTTTCCCACATGCTCCGCGGCGGTGACTTGCTGATCCTAGGGGAGGGAGGGTTGTGATTTCAGAGAAAACGAGATGAGGCCAAGGTTGACCCTGGGGTGCTTTGCTCACTGCCGCAGGAGATGTGAAGGTGGAGGGGAACAAGGTTCCCCCGCACTGATGCACTGGCTGCTATTTATTGTACCTCTCAAGCCTTGGAGTGAAGCAGTACGTTCCTTCCCACCCTCTTCGGCTTATCAGAGTCCGATAAATCCATTATTTAACCAT